CAATTTACTGCAGTACCTTGCTGTCACACAGAGATAGATGTATTTAAACAGTGTGCTGAGATTAGAACCTGATTAAAACACTGCTGTTATCACTGGCTGTCTTCCCAAAAGGCAAAATTATGTTTATGCTATCTAGTAGTAAAGATAAGTAAAACACAACACTGTACTGCTCAGAAAGTGAGGAAACAACACCTTTGTTCCATCTTTGCAATGCGGTGTTGTAACGCTTGATGGGACAAAGGTCTCACCTATGAGAACCTATCCTGCTTCTACCAGAGAAGAGCAAGTGTCTGCATGTTTGCAACTAAGAGACAAATGGGAAACCCACCTACACGACACACTACACTTGACCATAAGGGCAAGAACCCAGGTCCTAAAAGCAGTCAAACAAGTATACATGATGGAGCAAAAGGTATGTGAAGAAAAAACTGTGAAAGGGAGTGTGGAAACCCCTTCCTCATGCTACTTCTTTCTTGCTGCAACTCTGTTCCTAATCCCTTTCGTCTCACACATTTCTAAATCTGTAATCTTAACCACAACTATATACCCCAATGGGTTTTACAGCAAAGAGCTAGACTGAAAAGATAATGAAAGGAAAGCAGATGCTGGCAGATGAAAGCAGCATATAAATAAAGGCCCACTTTGGAGTCCTGTTCTCTCCAGAGTATTTGCTGAGCTCTCTTACTTTTCACAAGTATAAATACTACAGCATTGAAAAGAACAGTCAGAAATCAAGAGTAAATGCAAAGAGTCAACTCTTACACTACCAAATGCTTAAAGCAGAATGAGACCAAAATAAGTGAATCCAAAGTGAAGATTTGTGACAGCAGACTTCAGATTTTACTTGCTGTAAAACCTTCCTGGGAGCTATTCAAAACATAAGAACAAAGAGTCCAAATACAGAACAGAACAGTGATAATTTTTCCATAAGTGAACTCCTTCCCAACTCATGAAACATCTAAGAAGTAGGTCATGCAATCTTGATGTTCCACAGTCACCACAGGTCATTCATGATTGATAACAACTCCCTCAATTTTCTCTTTGTGTTCCTCAAAATTATGGAGGACATATTGTATTTCCTACAGCCTCTTCCACCCTTCTGACAAGAGAAAAATGTCATGTCATACTGTGCTATCATCCAAAGACCTCTCTGGGAAAGAAAAGTGAATAAAACAGAAAGGCTCTAGACAAAAGGGAAAAAAAAAAAAAAAAAAAAAAAGATGTACAAGACAGAATGTTCCTATGTCTTAAATCACAGCAGGTGCATAACACTTAGTTTTTGAGAGAGCCAGTTGTCCTGGAAGAGCTTTTTCTTCTCTCCTTGTATGCTTCCAGCATAGCTATACATTTTTCCTGTCTAGAGGTTAAGGATGCGGCGCTGTCACCGCCGAGGCCCTGGTTCGATTCCCGGTCAGGGCCACTCCCCGGGCAGATGGAGCTCGTTAGCCCTGTAAGGCAATCCATCTACGTCCTGAGGACCTCGCTGCCACTGTCCAAGCTCGCTTGGCCCCGGCAGATGAACCTCAGGATTAAAGGGTGGGCTCAGTTCCGCGCACACTGTGTCTCACCTAAAAAAATCCAATGCGCAGGCTGGAAGGTGGAAAGACCTTCCCTGGTTCTTCGTTCGCGAAGACTGGCCGTTATTACTTATTACATTTTTCCTAGATGAGATCCATTTACTTAAGAACAATTGGGAGCCTTGGCTAGGTTCTCAGTATTAAGTCACTTTCCAGAGCATGTACAGATGCCCTATGATCTATGTTTACTCTCCCATATGCATTTGTCCCTCAAATTGCTCAGAAATTATTTGTACCCATCCAGGGCAGTGTGTTTCTGGCAGTTAGGAGTGGGTACTGCATTTCCATGGGTGCAACATTCAGGAGTATTTTTTCCTTACTTCCTTCCCACCTTCTTTTTTTAATCCTTTCTGTGATTTCAAACAGACACCCATAGCAGATGCTTCATGCTTTCAGCCTGCCATGTGCATGCTGTTCTATCAGCATCTGCTCCTCTGGCATGCATACATATCATACGGGGGAGCACACTTGCTCCTCTGACACCTCCCATAAAGCTTCAGCAACCTTCCTTCAGCATGGAGTCCAGAATCTCCAGGGGCTTCAAAACAACTGCCCATGGCTTTTGTCAGCATTGTTCTCCCAGAATTGCCTTGTCTGGGTTTACCACTCTAGAATTTCTATCAGCATGGCTCTTTTTTTATGACTCATACCCAACACACATCTTTCTTCCCCTTTCACTCCTGCCTAGATTAAAAGGGAAAATGATGATTTTACAGCAGGATGCCCCAAACAGCACCATCTCGTGCTTACCAGCCAGCTGCCACCAGCTGCATGGCTGCAGGCTTAATGCTGCTCACTCGGTAAGGGAAATGTCTCCTGCTGCACAGCAAAACAGGCTGCAGGCCTATCAAAGCTGCTCCGGTGGCGATGAGATGAGGCACCTCAGGCTACTGCCACACACAGGAAACCAAGCTGATAGCTCAGCTGTACACAATTGCATTAAAAGCACAAAAATAGAGATTTATACAAGGCTGCACCAAAACTGGCTGCACACATTAGCGGAAGCCCAACTCACTCCTCCTCCAGGAGGGAGGCACTCCGCTCACCAGCCCAAGCACTGCAGGCTTTGCTGCTAATAGGATCATTTCCTTCTAAAACCTTCCCCAAGGCAGCAGCCCAGGAACACGCACAGCTAACTTAGGCTGAAAGGGAATTTTCCACCACCCACAAGCCTGTTTCTACCTTCCATAAATCTTCTCAGGCACAGGCCACAAAGAATCCACATCAGCCTCTGCAGCTGACACATAACTAGTAATTGGACATGCTAAATCTTCAGGAACCAACTTCCATGTCAAGTTTCCTTTGCACATTGATGTTTAAAATAAGCACACGTTGAATTTACACCTCCTTCCAGATCCCTTCACGTTGCTATAATAATAGCATGGGGGCTTAGCATAAATCACTACAGGGCCATTAAGCAGAAAGATCATTCACACTGTCAATTAAGAGATATCAGATACAGGCAGATACACTGACAAGACATTCCTTTTCATCTGAGAAAATAGGCTTAAGCAATCCCTACACAATCACTCTTTTTCTCAGCAAACTTTCTGGAGCACAGATAAGATCAAAGGCGGCTGTCCCAATCAACAAAGTTATTAAGACCTCAAGGAAAAAGTAATGTTGCAGAAAAGCCAGAGCTGCCTGATGGCTTCCTTTATCTGAGGATGGAGACACATGGAGCAGCAGGTAGCCATTACCCTACTACAAAGAGGGCAGCAGTTGTGAATCAGAAAACAACATACTGTTTTGGTGAAAAATATGTATTTTCAGGACATTTTTGAACTGCTACTTGTTTGGCAGAACAGTTCCCAAACTTAAAAAATATTTTTAACTACAGAAAAACATCATCATGACATGCAATTAGTAAGCACATCAGTGGTAATGCACTATGTGCTGAAGTTAAAAGAAATGGGGACAGGCATTGTCATAAAGTTGTTTCACAAGCAGGTGAACTCTGGATCCATTTTCATCACAAGGAAGATGAACGCCCACCACCAAGATACCAAAAAAAACCCCAATCAGCTCAGTTTTATTAGGAATGTGAAGATAACAGACCCATGGAATACATTTTAATTTTTGTCTTTGTTAGCTGATATAAGAGGCCAAACTCTGAGCACTAGCAAAGGGAGTCCATTAGAAACAAGGAGCTCCATATGAGCAGACACAGTAAAACTCTTTCCTGTCTGTACTTTACCTAGAGCTAACATATAGCATGGACTCTGTGATGTACAAGGAATTTTCAAGAAGATTGCTGCAACTCACTATCCGTTGACTTTCCTCTGTAAAATGTGGTTAGAATGGGCCAAAGGATTCAAAAGCTTCTCAGGAGAGACAACAAAGAGACGGAGATGCACAAATTAAGGAGATGAATTTGTTTTCTGAAGCAGTAACAATAAAAAAAGAGAAGGAACAATCCAGGCCAGCAGTTCAAAGAGTATGACATAAATATCATCTGCAAGTGGTATGCAAATGACCTCTGAACAGGCAAAAGACATTCATGCATGCCACTGAGACTACATTTGTAAAAGCCTTGTGTAAAGTACAGTCAAGCTATACACAAACCACAAGCACCTAATTCATCATAACTATCATGGCAAAAGCCTCTTCCCCAACACAGTATGCTCTGACCACCCTACCTGCACTGGAACAACTTAAGGAGAACTCTACCATACCTTGGCAAGGACCTTCACGTTATCCAAGTTTCCTTAAAAGTCGCACCAAAATTGTGCCATTGTTACTTCAGCCATGTAAGGAAAAAAGCCCCACACTTCTAGAAAGAAAACATAGCTCAGGAAGTTACCAGTGAAAGAAGAAACTCTGCATTTCAACTGAAGAAACGATAACAAGCATTACAGCCTGAAAAGTGTGGGAACACAGAGAAGGGAGGGCACTACACACCTCTGCCTTTGTCAGTCCATAGCTCTCTTCACAGATGTCCAAGAGAACTCAGTGAAGAGAAAGCTATTAGTAAAAAAATATTACTTAATATTTACATAGCACTTTCCGCTTGGCAATTTTTAAGCAACCACTACATTAAGTAATTTACCAAGAAAAATAAAAACATACATTGGCATTCTGTGTGATCAGTAGCTTATGCTTTCAAAGGAAAACATGTCTATTTTATCTTTATTAGAATTAAACTTTAAGGCCTGAATTTACTGTACATTATTCACTGTTACATTTTAAATTGGCAGCGAGGTAATCAGTCAGGTCATTAGCTCCAAAATGCATTTAACAGTGCATTTTGCTAAGTTCCCATATTAAGAAAACCACAGAAAAACTTGGAGATGTTAACACCTTTTTATCACTGGTTAAGACATAAGTTAGGGCACTGTAATTGTTGCAATTTCTAAAAAAAAAGCAAGACCAAAAAAAAAATCAAAACAAAAACAAAACTAAACAAAGCAAAAAACAAAACAAAACACCTCCCGGAAAATATCCTACCTTCCAGCTTTGCCATCCTAGACTATTCTCATGCTAATGATGCCCAGTAAATGATTCTCCCTTATTTCAGTTCGTCTTTTGAGATCTTTCTTAAATCATTTCCAGCTCCAACAGGGCTTCCTTTTTGTGGGTAGCAGCACATGTCAGCTTGGCACAGCTTTCCTTTTACACAAGTGCAAGATGTTTCCTTGTGTTAATACAGGAAGCTATCAAAAACATACTGTGGCTGGATTTAAAAGCAGATTCCATAGCACTGACTATCATTAGCATTTCTAGCCACTAACATTAAGCTGCTCTGCAAATAACTCTACAGGGACTATGATTTCAAAATATAATTCAGATGCTCACTGCGACAGAGCAATTCCTTTATTTCAGATACGTGGTCCCTCTCTCTCCCATGGCCTGCAGGATGAGGTGGCAGCACACCCATTTTTGTTGCTGGTGAACTCAAACAAGAATCTGCTCTTTATGAGACACAATGCAAGCACAGGCAAATATGATGGCTGCATCCACTCGGTTCTGGTCTTTTTTATAACACATAAAATGGGTGCACAAATTTAAGTGACATTCAAACTCCTGGCAAGTACCCAGTTCACCCAACTGGTAACACAGATGTTGGGCATTTTTGAGTTGGGACATCATGGCAGTGAATCACTGAAAAAAATCAGAGATTCATCCTGTTTTCTTTTTTTCCCTTAGCAGAAGGGAGATGGATTTTCAGAGGGGGATAAACTTTCTGTTCTCTGCAGTACTGAACATTGAGCAAGGCTGGATATAAGAAAAAGATAGATGGTTAATCCAAATAACTCTAGCAGCTCTTTAATATGACATCTTGCTTTTGTGACTTCTTTATTAATCTTAACTGTTAGAAGAAAAAAGAAGTTATATTGTGCGAGAGCACCTCGTGGTTACTATACGTGCTCCCACAAATACAATGGATACTTTATTTTTCCTTGAAGTTTCCCTTGCAGTTTAATATTTCCTCTATGTTCCATTTGCATCTGGTGTTCTCAGATAACTCACACAGCCAGGAATTAAATAATATCTCAAAAATCAAAAGCAGAATTATGAGGCTCAATAGATCAGTCGTAAGTACAGTAAACAAATGACAAAAAAATGGGGTCTGGAACAGTCCCATTTTTAACATCTCTAAAGCTTCTGTCTAATTAGGTTCATTTTTTGACAAACAAGAGTGGGATTAGATCAGCATTACAGTTATTATAGCAGCCACATGACAGAACCTAGACAATTTTATTTGTCAATTTTTAGTCCTATACTGGCCTCTCATTTACAAAGCTCATGGGAGACTACACTACTTCCTCATGAGCACGAATCATCATGTTTACCCACATGTCAGAGTTAACCTACAATGAAATTGCCATCTTTATAAATACTTCACAACATTTCAAAAATGCCATTCTGTCTGGGAGAAAGAGAGGAAGATCATAGCCCATTTATTCTCCCTCTTTTTTTCCTGGAGGGGAGAAGGGCATAGTGGAATTCTGTACTTCAAATAACAGAGACACCATTCCTAACATATTGCAATGTTGTATACTGAAAACGCAGTCGGTAAACAACAATTGTGAGCCCCTACTTGTTCATATGACAAATATTTCACTGAAAAATGGAGCAACATCAAAAAGCTAGAAAACAAATGGTCATTCTCTGTCAGTGTTGCAGCTGGTATTCAGGCAGGTTTAGATGAATCCATGAGACATTTCTTCAGAGCTTATCCCAGGTGTCAGTTAAGCAAGAAATCTGGCTCCCGATAACCAAAGAGTTTAAAATCACCTTCAAATCGTGCATAGAGGCGTCTTATGTCTCTCTTGCTAATTCCTGAAAAATACCGCTCTACTTTTGTTCTGTTGTACACTGTTATGCCTGGTGGAATGGTGGGGTACGATACCAGGTGGTCTATGCCGGCTGCTTTCAAGATATATGGAGCATCGTCCTCCAGGGTTTCGTGGTGTCCAATCACACTGTACGTGATTTCACAGGGAGCGCAGAGTTCCACATACGTTACCCAATGAATGATGTGGTCCCCAAACTGAACATCCAGCCATCGGTGATTGGGGTCACCCAGGTAGCGCACAAAATCCTCAAACTGCAGCCCTTTGGTCTCTGTGCGGTTCTTTCTGTATTTACGAATGATGCCGGGAGCGATTTCATGCCGGTACCAAGGTTCAAAGCGAGGATTGTGCACAAACTTGTCTTTGAACGCAGAAATAAGTCTTTCAAATGGATCTCTAACAATAAAAAACTTGAAGTATAAATTCAGTCTACAGAGAGGAAGAAAAATAAAAAGAAATTAAATAGTAAAGGAACAGGTTTAGCTAAGTGTTTAAATTCTGTTTAGCATATACTTACAAAACGTATGTTAAATGACCACACACATAGCAATGTGAATCCTACACTATTTGCATAGTCTATCAATATTATAATCAGTAGGACTAGAAATACAATTTGTGTCTTCTTACAGTTTTTGTATACAGTACAAAGAGGAAATAGTTTATCCTAGTTCTCACATTTTATTCAACTGGAGGAGATTAGCTTATCTCAAAACATAAAGAGGAGATAAAAGATGCTGAAAGCTCCAAGTCAAAGGTATTTTTAATGCCATATGATTAAGCTCAAAAAGTAAAACACACAAAGACAAGGGGAAGAGTCCCTTCGGGCAGCTAAATGCACACAGAGAGCTGCACTTTTTACTGACAGGCAATTAGACAAAGTGCTTCTTAACTGAAAAAAAAAACTAGCAATTTATTTACTGTTTTGTCATGCTTTGAGTAATGGCTGACAACATCAATGAAACATGAGACTACAGTTTTCAATAAAATTTCACATTATTATTATTATATTGTAATATGTAATGCTCTGTAGTCAGGTATTATCTGTAGAAATAAGTTGAAAACAAAGTTTACTTCAGTAAATTGCTGAAAAAGGAGATTGAGCACCCAGCCCTCACTGAAATAAGCGGATGGACTCTTTCCAGCCTCTACAGACACTAGAATCAGCCTTCACGTTCTCCTGACTTACTCCTAGCCAGGCAGGCTAGAGGTCAGCAAACTAGATCAACAAATCCACACCATCCCCTCTCTCTACACTTAAATTCTCTGATAAATTTAGAATTCCCAACCAATCCCATGTTATGCATCTCCAGCACAGCTTCTGTCATAAGCTGAATGCAACAACCCAAATCATAATAGCATTCAACTTCAAATATCCCAATTATGGCTCATCCTGCAGGTCAAAAGTTACTTTTATGCAGGGCTGTTCACAGGGAGGGAGACCAGATCCACATTCTCAAGAACTTAGCGACAATATTTTCTCTTGCATGGTATCAGCACAAGCAAGTGACCCTAATTCCACAGGTACTGCTGTGATAAATGTATTTGTGCCGCTGCATGCAACAAACCTTGCACTGAGCTCTACTGGCAGCTGACACGTGTATAAGAGGCTGACTCTTCAAAATGGCTTAATACACACAAACCTCATGCAACTACATATTTACAAGTGTCCACTGCCATCTTATGTCCTGTTCTCTCCATGTTGCCACCCCTCACAGGGATTATATATGGCATAGGCTCTAGTAGAGATGAGAGCAGAGAGAGTTAAAAAATCTAGCCAAAGTAATGCAGAAGGTTCTACTGCAGAGTATTTTTTTGGCTTTGAAAATAAATAGAAGCACCCAAACAGGAAGACAAAGTGGTTCAGCTGAACAGACAATACTCTCAGGCTAAGGAGCACTAACATTTCAAATCTAATTAGTTCAATCCCAGTAAGTCTGTCTGCAATGACAATCCTGCCTGTAAGCAGTAAGGTTTATCATCCAAGGCATCAGGATGGACCTTCCAACTAAACCTTCTCTTCTGAAGGCCAACTACCTAACAATTACATGTGCAATGAAGTATGGAAACCCTATATGCAGAGGGAGTTGACTGGCTCACCTATTTGTATCACAAATTACACTAGTGTTCTCCTTCAAAGCCAGGAGAAAAGCAGACACAACAACATCTGTGAGAATAATGGAATAGTGCTATAATTCAACTGGTGGAACAGAAGCCCTGCTGTCCTCAATTCCAGATGGAGACGTCAGCTGTACCTCTGCCTGTACCACCACTGACTCCAAACTCTGCCCACACCCATCAGAAGCCACTACTTACCGTTTTTTTATTTCAGAGTCACTGAAGGAGGACAAACGTGGAAGGCCATTCTTCTCGTGATCATGTACAATATTTTCTGGGATCTCTTCTATGGAAGAAAATGCTCCTAAACAAATCAAATCAGAGAACAAGTTATTCTTTCAAGGAAAAAACAGTGAGTAAAAGCAAGAATGTGTGCCTTTGGCTGACAGATTTATGTCTTTCTCTTTTCTGTATTTTTACCATTTACAGTTACTATGCGTAAAACTGTTAAATTATGAGAGATTCTGACTGCAAAGCTAGAACCTGTTAAAATTCTTCAGGGTATTTGACATCAAGATCCAAGACCACATCTGCACTCATATAATTCCATATTTAGCACTTCCTTTGAGTGTGGCTTTCATAGGTATTATGACACATGCACACTCATAGATATGAGGCATATTTCTGCTCAATTTTTACCTCCCATCCATATCTCAAAGATGAAACTAATATTAAAGTTTTTAAACACATACTGCTTGCTACAAAGGTCTTGCTGAGGGACACAGTTCATTTGCTAGTTTGTGACTGTTTCCTTCTGCCTGGGTGCACAAACAAGCTCACACAAGGTACAGAAAACAAAAACTCAAGTGCAGAGCTGGCTGTTTGCAGGTCACTTCTAACAAGAAAGCTGGGTTTACAACGTTCAGGTTTTGCCTAGATCTTGGAAAATTATGCCACCTGCAAAACCACAGGAGGAAATCAACTGACTCGAGTATCTGTAGCAAATTCCCTGCCCTGGTGCACAGACAGGCAAGATGGTCTCATGCAAACAAGTGTGTTAAATATGATTGTGTTAAGTTTACAGCAGAAAACCCTGAGGGAATGTGTTATTTTTACTGGCATACCAGGATACTGGAAGAGGACGGTAGGCTACGTGTAGACAGGCAGTGTTCACCTTGTAGATAATTATTCAAACAGGTTAGTCCCTTTACTCCTTCTTTTACAGTCTTTCATAACATACCTTTGTTGACCAAACTGTTGCCTTAAGCACCTCAGAATCTTCATAATTCTTATAATGGTTCACTGATAGACCATACACAAGATTTCAGCAGTACAGACCAACGGCAGCTGCCAAGTTTTAACTAGCTTTCCTCATGGCTAAAAACCTCTAATTAAAGTCAGTGGCCTTTAGTGAGAAATTTTTTATTATTGTTAATTAGGAATTATGATACCTTGTAATACTTTCAAATTCTATAAATTAGTGCCTACCCTTCAAAGATAAGACACCTGCCTACCACATGCATGTGGGTACTTCTTCATTACTTCCTTTTGAGCCAAGTAATAACAATATTTACTTGCACAGAAAGAGCAGGTCTATCTTATTTTAAAGGGATGTTTTGAAAGGACTAGAAGGAACTGTGATGAATAAAAGGCTGAAATTGAGTATCAGTGTACAGAAATGCAGAAAGAATCCATTTTTGTGTTGCCCCAATTAGACCAATTCTGTTCTCTCTTCCTCCTCCTCAAAGAAACCCACACACCCACAGCAGAGTAGATACCATTTAAAACAATCAAGACTTTTTTCCACTGAGTGTTGCCCACTTTTGGCGTCTGACAAAACAGGATCTTGTGCTTGTCACACACAAATATTCGGTCCAAGACGAATTTGGAAACTGCAGTGTGAGAGAGATCTCTCAGTGCAGTGTCTCTGCAGACGTTCCTGAGAAGCTCAAGTCTTTCCATATGAACCAGGGGCTGGCGGATCAGATTTCCAGAAAAAGGTTTTCCAGTTGGCTTTATGAAATGAAGAGGGGAAAGAAAAAACAAAAGCAAAAGAATTCAGTTTTCAGATCAAATTCTAAAAAGCCCCAAATAGTGCACGCTAATGACTCCCAGATTAACAATTAAAACAACGCTATGTATTAACTAAAGGAGTAGCCCACAGTTCTTCCTGTCCTTCCTCTGCTGCTGCTGTTGATTCTGTACTTGTTGGTTCAACTCTTAAGTCATTACGTAGTAGCATACAGTAGTAAGAGTTTTTCCATACAATAATTTAAGTCTGCTGCAGAGCAGGAGGGTCTTATAGGTGTGCATAAAACATACCTTGATCAAATACTGGAACTCCTACAAAGCTTCAACAGCCCAAGGGAAAGCTTCTGAGGAGTTGGGACAGGAATTTCAACATAAATTATGCTTTAAACTCTGATGAGATGGGGCTGACCCAAGGTGTGATCCTTGGGGATGTCCTGTGCAGGGCTAAGAGCTGGACTTGATGAACCTTATGGGTCCCTTCAAACTCAGAATATTCTGTGTTTCTGACCCATGTGGCTGGGAAAGAATTTAGGATTAAAGTTCTGTGTTGTTTTCTAGCACCTGTAGGTATTCAGCATTTCCATTTATCCAAGTTGAAATAAAATTAAGTGGACAATGAGCATCAGTGTTTACTGTGGCAAATAAAATAAGTAGGCAGGATACCTCTCCCCAAAGATGAATGAACTGTTTCATATGTCTCATTTTTCTGAGACTAAGACAGGAACCACAACTACCTCTTGCTGCACAATTAACAGAGAGAGGGGAAAAAGAAGCTTCTCTGATGAAGAGGTGATGGGAAATTTTAAATTTCTACTGACAAATTTTCACCCTTCCGCTAAGTGATTTACATAGCTGGCAATGTCCAATATCAGTAGAGACTAGAGGATGAACTGATTGAGAGCAACCCTGCTGAGAAGGACTTGGGGATACTGACGAATGAAAAATTGGATATGTGCTGGCACTACATACTTGCAAAGCCAAATGCATCCCAGACCACATAAAAAAAAGCAATGTGTCCATCATATCAAAGGAGATGATTCTTCCCCTCTACTCTGCTCTACTGCCACCTGGAGTACTGCATCCAACCCGGGGGCCACAGCACAGGAAAGACATAGACCTGTTAGAAAAGGCCCAGAGGAGGGCCCTGAAGATGGTCAGAGGGACAGAGCACCTCTCCTATGAAGACAGATTATGAGAACTGGGATTGTTCAGCCTGGAAAAAAGAAGGCTCCAGGGAAACCTCACTGCAGCCTTTCAATGCTTACAAAGGGTTTATAAGAAAGACAGAGACTTTTTTCCAAGGCCTGTAGTGACAGGACAAGGGATAATGGTTTGCAACTAAAAGAAGGTACGTTTAGATTAGACATTTAGAAATTTTTTCCTACAAGGGGGAAGCATTGGAACAGGATGCCCAGAGAAGCTGTGGATGCCCCATCCGTGGAAGTGTTCAAGGCCAGGCTGGATGGGGCTTTGAGCAACCTGGTCTAGTAAAAGGTGTCCCTGCCCATGGCGGGGGTGCTGGGACTATATGGTCTTCAAAGATCCCTTCCAACCCAAACCATTATGTGATTCTATGATTTTAGGTAGTGTCCAAGCTATAGATGAAAAAGAAATGATTTTACTTTTTGTCCCAATACTCCTTAAGGAAAAGATAATCTCATTCTACTTTTTCTGTTTGTCACTCTTCTCCAGGAATGTAATCTGAACAGTTTGTCAGACTGTTTATCTTTCAAAACAATTCGTTTGCATAAAACTAGAATTAATGTTGTTATTCTACATTTCACGCTGTCAGGAAGTCAAGAGGGAAGAGTTTTAGATCCAGGAACCTTATTATCCTCTTCCATACAAGTAAAGGAAGATATTAAAACTGACTACACAGATCTGCCAGCCTTCCACTGAACAAAGTGTTTTTTCCACATATTTTGAGGGTAACCTAAATTTCATGTTTTTTACATACGAAAACAAAATGTGTCACGTTTATATAGCTAGCCTACCTTCTATGCTGTATCACAAAAATACTTTAAACATAAGATGACTTATGTCATTAAGGTACCAATGCCAAAAAATTGGATTTTGCCCACTGTGCAACTGGTTTCAAATTTACATTTGCATAAGGGATTTTCAGAGTCTTCTTATCAATTAGTAAGTATCACTTTATTGCTGAAGGCACAGAACTATGCATCTAAAGGATCAACTGGTATTGACTACTATAGTGTTCACAACCTACTTTGGAAAAATGCTGAAATGGAAAGCACAAAGAGCACAAAACATGAAAAAGAAATGGAGACTGATAAAAAGAAACAGAGAGTTTGGGCAGAGGACTAAGAGAATAGACAAGACAAAGGCTTGCCCTCAACAACCACAAACCTGTGGTTATAGCAAGGCAGAATACAAGTAATGCAAAACTAGGCCATTATATTTTAAAAAATGACAAAAAACTAAAAAAAATTTGATAAAGGGGTACTGTAACAATTTCCTCCTAGAAATGGAAACACCATAAGATGAACTGTTCAGATGAAACATGACAGCAGGTTACCGTAACAAACTAGCTTTGTGAAGTTAAAATGAATTCTGTCGGCTCTATCTAAATAGAACAGTCTGAAAATAATTTGTGTCTAGAAATCCATTTTAACAACAGGAAGCCCTTACTTAATCTCTTATTTTCTCCTACTCTTTAAAACAGGTAACCCTTATCTCAACAGTATGCACCTGGAATTCTTCAGGCCAATGTTTTTCCTCCGGCACATGCACCTCCTCCACTTTTGTCACAGCTGTCAGTATCAATGACTCTTGCCTGGCACCGTAGCCTAAAGAAGGAAGACAGATAAGAGCATTACAGAAGGTGAGGGGAAGGCAACTACTCTGCTTTACAGCTAACACAAACGAACATTACTTTCTGTATTAAGCTTACAAAACACTAGGATTTGTTTCTACATGGAAAGGTATTGGACAAGACACAAGACAGACTATGAATATTTTAAAGGATGTACACTGTGGGAATTTTGGATGCAATTTCAGCTGAGTTTTATCAAACATGCCCATTATCTTTTACTTGGGATTTTTTCTTGTTTGTTTTTTTTTTAAACAAACTGTGCAAAGAGACATCGAAATCTGGAATTTAAATGTCGCAGTTGACAGACAATTTGGTACAATTATAAGGACTTGTGTGTAGCTTTTTATTTTCCAATAAACTTTCCAAAGCATGTCTAAGTAAAAACCTTACTCTCCCTTATATTCTTATATTATCTTCTCTCTCCCTTATATTAGTAGATAGGTTTCTTGTGTTGTAAACTCCTAAACTTACTAGAAATGTCATTAAGGACCACCTTTTATTTCTGTGGTGCTCTAAGTAAACACCTCTAACCAGCAATAAATAAAGATCCCCTCTTCCTTTATTACTGGAATGATGGCCTTCCTTAGACAGTACCCATAACAACAAACTTAGCTGATACTCTTGTTCCCTTTTAGTGAATTTTAGGGCAGCTAATAGTTTGAGACCAAATTAAAGCATGTAAGGCAAGAACTCTTTTCTTTTTTTGCATTTGGTATTGTACAGAAAAACTGAAAAATAACACAAGGCTGTAGCATTAGTCTACACAGTGCAGAAAGATCAAAAATAATTTCAAGCTGATTTCTCTAATTAGAAAGCAAAAAATTATTTCTCCCTGAAAATGTATGTACATTCACAGTGGACTACTTTTCCCTTCATACGGTTTCTTCAGTGAATAATGTTTCTTCGTCTGCAGCCACAGGGGCTTACTGTTTTATGGTTGAGAAAATATGTGTACTCCCTGTGTTCTCCACTTAAGGGAGTACTCTACTCTGCCTACACTGGCTCTTAAAGGCCACGCACGGAGAAGCAAGTTAGAACTGAAAGCAGTGTAAGCATCCAGCCAATCAGATATTGTAATTACGGTCGTGCGCAGACTTACTTCGTGGTATTCTTTTGTAAAATAATTTGATTCAGTGGAAGAGCAGGTCAGGTATTTTTCATTACCATTGTGTCAAAGCATGCCTGCAGATGATACTAGAGACGATGGACAGAAACTTCCTCTTTCTCATTAAGAAGTTCCTATTACTCATTCTACCCAAGACATCAGTAAAAGGCTTATGCAAAAGAACATTGATTCCTTGATCATCTGCCGGTTTTATTCTATCTGCTAAAAAGAGACATCCAAATAAGGAAAATTTCTGACAAGCCATATTTTATTTAGTCTAGAAGAGTTTCTCCAGGATTTGCCATCCTGTTTGGACTTCCTCCAAAATTCTGTTGGTATATTCAAAGTACATCCCTATATTAGTTCTATTACAAACACTGCTATCTCCAATACATACATAGACTTAAGCACAGTCATGCCTTTTCAGGGCAAGCTTAGTAGTTTATACATCTTCTGCTCAGAGAACTACTCAAAAAGGGAGGAAGATTCAGTACACAGGAGAAAAAAAAAAAAAAAAAGTAAAAATTGGCAAGCCAAGGTGATAAAAAGCAAGTAAATGCAGAGCGGCAGAGCGTATACTCTAATAATTTTTTTTTAAATACATTTTAGTCTTTTTGACAAATTCTGGAGTAAAAGACTACTCAAAGAGTAAGTGAACTGTGAAACAAGACTAGGTTTAGAATGAAATACTGGAAGATACAACTATCTAACATAAGACCAGCTGATTTGCAGATGTGCTAGGGCTCAAAAACAGCTGGGTCCAAGGAAAGCTAAGTTAGCCTACACTTCTCTGTAAGCAAATAGAGGCATGCTGTTTATAAAGGTACACCTAATATATTTATCCAGTTACATAATATATTATCAAGTTACTGAAACATGGCACCAGTGATGTCAGCGCTTCAAAAATTACTCATTTTTTCACGTATCTTAGGAAGATGCAGAAACACAGATCTCCAAAGGCTGTCATATCATCACCTTCATCCAAAACACTCCGTAGGATGACTTTGTAAGAGCAGCTCCAGCAGACAGAAAACTGTGCTGTGTGGTGTCATCAAATGGCTTAAATTCCTCATCAGCTTAATAACATCTGGGCTACTTAAGCTAAGCAAAAGCCCATAAGCTGTTTGCAAGTCAAACAGCAGAGGATAACACTGAATGCAAGAAGCAGGGCAGAGGTGGCTAGGCAGAGTGCATTGCAAAGGACGTAAAACTTTCCACAAGTTTTACATAATACCTCAGTCACAAGACAAGCAGCCACAAAACGACAGAAACTAGAATCACATGAAACAAGCTCTTCAATACCTTGTGAGTCTCCTTTGACTTTAAACAGGTAATTGTGCTCTCTTGTTCTGCACATGACATTTAGCCCTAGAAGATCAAGCTACTGAAACTAAATATATTTGAAAAAGCCGAACTACAAGACAGTACTGCCCAACATGATCCCTTCTTTTCTTAACCATCAAAGAAAAGACATGATGTTAGTTTTCCAGAATTACACCAAGAAAAGCAGGAACTGAATATCAGCACTGTCACTTCTAGAAATTTAGTTGTTCTGTTCTCAGTCCTACTGATGAAGTGGTAAACATGCCAAGAGCTACCTTTCACAGAAAAGACTGTGTGAAGCACTACACAATTTTCTGTTTCACATCAAAGTTGAACTTACCATCTGGGTCTTTAAAAGTCAACGTGATAAACTTGCTAGCAACCATGAACATGAATATCACCCAAAAGCATGCAGCTAGCAGCAGCCACTGGTGGTGCATGTTGTCAGGCATGAGCCATATAAAGCTGACGCTTCCTGTTTGAAAGAGAAAAGATTGACACATTAATTATTTCTGTCCCAGTTTAGAAAAATGCTTTCCATAAGCAAAATGCAAAAACTCTAATGTGCATGTGTGTCATAAAACATAGCAGTAGATTTCACTTTTTACTTTTTTGCCTATTCAGCTGGAGTTTCAACCAGCGTTAAGGCTGAGGCAACGTAACCACTGGCTGCTATCAAAGGGAGGCTTTGCTCCCCGTTCACCCCTGCATTCACATTCCCAGCCCCCTCCTTGTGCTGGCAATAGCACTGTCTATCTGACTGGGGAGACAGATCAGCAAAAGCCCTGATTTTTTTACAGCATAGTTTATTCTTCAATTTAAGTTAGCAAGACAGGTCATTCTAGGAAAGGCAGGGAGAATGAAGAAAGCTGCGCTCTCAGTCCTAGATGTAACATTAACACTATACTTGGTTATTCCATGTCAGCTCAGGACATGTTACAGTGTAAGCACTATCCACAGAATAATAAAAAGGGTTTTCTTGCAGCAGTGCCTCCTACCTGTAGCTGCATGCCTGCAGGGAAACCTCACAGGCAGGACTTCCTAAGGACAGCAGGAATTGTTACTCAAACAATTGAGACTGCAGATTTAACGTGCAAAGAAACCACCCACAGGAACTGACAGAATCCAAGCAGAGTGAAGATGAAGATACTGCACAGTATTATGAATGCAGCGTCTACCCTACCTCACAGCTTTAAAGTTTGCTGTACTGCTCTAAGCACTTCTATCCTGAATTTTCCTGTAACCCTAATAAATTATTTTTTATTATTAGAAGTTAGGATTAAATATAAGGAAACCTATGACAAAAAAGTCCCCAGCCATTAGGAGAAATGTATAATTTTAAGCTACATCTTCCAGTGAATTTTCAGCTTCTGATGGGCAATACACAAAGGGGCTGCCACCGAGTATCCGTGAAAGCTCCACTACAAAAAATAACAACCCACAACAAAAACCTAGCAAACATCATCACTTTTCATACCAAAACCCAAGACTGCTCAGGTTTGAATATTTATCCTGCAAAAATACAGCACCATTGTCTCTATTATTGCTGGAGAGATAGATACCTGAGGGCCTGAACTCAGGTGCTGGAAAGTTAAAATATAAGTGAATGCTTCCTTTTGAGGACACATGCAACACAACATCAAAACACTTAACCAAAGAGGATTTAATACAAAAAATCCCATACAACAATCCTGTAAGGTTTGTGTTTGTAGCCTCAGGAAGAACAAAAATCCAAAACCACGCATGCAACTAGCAATAGGATCAAACTCACTCTCAAAGTAGCCACATACAACTTCAAGGAGAGTCACGTCTGCATGGTTTGTGATCACAATTTCTATACAGCCACTTCAGTGAATCGTCAGGGAATAAGCCACACGCCCTCATTCCCATTTTAAGATGCTAAAAATGTGCTGGTTAATACTTCTAAGGAAATTTATATTGAGTTTTTCAGTTGTATACCAGTATTCCACCTTCTTTGTTCCCACAAAGCATCAATAACAGAAGTAAGCCTGGTTCTGACATTGTTTCAGCATGTCCACCTGCAACATCAGTACTACTGCTACAGGTGCCAATCACTTTTCTAACTACCTTTTGCCTTCCAGCAATGCAAATATTTCCAGGAAGGGTTCTCACTGTAGCTGACAGAAGTGAAATGTCTTCAGGGTATGTTGAAAGCCTGTGCAGGCAGACAAGCAGATCAAAACACATTTAGAACCAGACGGATGTAGGCAAAATGGGTAAGAAGAGGAAAAGAACAGAATATCACCAATTTAAAAAAAAAAAAAATCATAATTTTTAGCCAGGATGGCACTGTTCAGGCCTAATTTTACTTTCTCAGTTTGGTTTTTGAAAGGTCCTTTTTTTCCTCCTCTTTAATGGTTTCATTCTTCTATAAGCACCACATTTAGGTAAAAAGATGCATCAACTGTCTTTTGGAAAATTACAGGTGCTGTGACCTCCACAAAGACAATGTTTGTCATCTCCTGTTTTCTGAAGCAATTCCCTATCTGCCAGTCGAGCGTGCACGAATTCCAGAGGACTGACCTCTTTCCAGCTAAGTAGTTCAGAAGTTATTCTCTCTCTACCACTACACCTGTGCAAAACTTGCCCTAAGATTCATGCTGACAACCATTAGGTCTCAAAGGTCCTCATTTTTCAGCCTGCCATGACATCCACCATCTCCCACTTTAAGCACTGAGATTTATCTTTCAAACGTAACGATCATTTGAAAGATTTTCCAACTCTCACAGATGAGGGAAATTTAGATCAGATATCAAGACATAAAAATGTAGCGATGACATTTTTGCTTTTTAGGTAGCTCTGCTAAAACCATGAGAACCATTCAACACTCAAAACCAATGGAACCTCAGTTCAAGGCAGCAGACTGACAGAAGCTTTAAGAGAACACTCTGCAGGAGGAAATTTCTTTCTAACCATCAGCTATGGGCTTTTCAGAGACATAATGAAAGGTCTGGGCCAGACCTTTCTGTCCAACTCAGTATATTTGTTCTACATAAAGAAGGGTAGAAAAAACCTCCAACATTCATAGCATTCCTGCCAGTCTGCCCGCTTTTATAATGGTGATGGATGCACACCATTCAGTAAGGACTATTGATCTATATCTCCTTATGTAATTTATGTATTGGATTTCTAAGAAATTGCACTAAATGACATGGGAAAAGCAATTAGCATACACAGGACCGTGCTGCCAGGTCCTGTGCTGTAGGGATGGAGCATTTCAGCCAAAATCACCTGCAAGCAGTACAGGACTCACCTCAAGGGCTGGACTCAGAGACCAGAAAGGGGGCAGAACTGCAGCCACATCCATAACAACGACCACTATTACCCTTCAATACATTGATGCTGGGAGGAAAATGTAAAGCAGCTTTGTCTATTTTTTTTATGCACACAGCAACTCTGCAACCACCCCCTCTGACAAAGTAATAGTCTTGTCAGAGGATCTCTCATAATGTAACTACAATGCCTGGCACTGTTACTCACTTCCAGCATCCTACACGACATCTTTATCAGCAGCTTACCACCGATCTCAAGAAGAAGGACTATTCAAAATTATATATAGGAATACCTCAACCTTACATTTGCCTAAATGCAATAATCAGTTGTTGGTTTTTTTTTTTTTTTAATAATGTGTTTGTGGCTCCCTTTCTCTATCTTCTTTAATGTTTTTATTGTTTTCACATAGGATAATTGCACTTCCTGCTTTATATCTGATATTACTGCATTTCTGTTGCCTCTCCTTTTACTTTAGTGAATACATGTACTAGCTACTGTTTTTTCTCTGTAATAGTTTCCTTCTGCTTCCAAAAGTGTCTTTTACTTCTTGTTGTCTACTTTACAAGTAGGAGAAGCAAGAAATATGCTGAAGGTGTAGTCCATTTGCTCCCAATGAAATACACAGTGAGTTTTCCATTTACTCCTTCTCCCGCTTATTACAATTCTACACTTTTTAGGAGCCCAAGATCCCCAAAATGCCTCTCTCCATCCATTCCTCTGTCCTTCCCTCTCGGGGCTACTTGCCACAAACTGTCACATAACCCTCAGGTTAGCCAGATGCCAGTTTTGCATGAGAAAAAAATGGGATCTCAAACACAAACAAGAACCAAAGATCACAGAGTTGCAGGCTTGACCCGTGGCCCATGAATAACCTGCTACCTCAAATAAACACTCATTCTTTGCCAAAGACTGCTGTCTTCATGGGAATGATGGGATAAAGTACAGAACATTTTAAGCGACATTAAAACTCGGTGCACGGTCTCTGTTCTGCAGCTTGTGCTGCTTGGACTGGGGCTCCTTGGCAGGACAGTGCCTGGAGGAATCGTGACTGGCAGCGGCATGCCAGTAGTCCCAAACTCCCAACTGCTTGCCCATCTGCACGTGACTTATGATGTAATTTGAAATGGAACTGGTAATAAAGGCCAAACAGCAGCTAGCTGGGATAACTAATCCATTTTCATCAATGCCTCCTTTGTGTTATCTTAGAGGTAAGAGATCTGGCCAATTCATTACACGTTAAAAAAATCTTGGATCAAAATCTTGTCGCACAGGCTCCTTTGGCAAGTCGCGTGGTGCAACTAAACGTTACAATGTACATTATAGCAGGCTTTCCTGGAAACTGGTACTTTCCTAAGGTTTTCCTCCTCTCGCAGAACAGGCCTGTGGCTCTGCTCTTCCAGCTCCTGCTGGAGAGTGGAGCCCTCCCTGCGCACGCACAGGTCACCTGTCAGCGGGACGGGAACCACCCCGGAGAGTGGGAGCAGCAGCGCCTGCACCGCTGCGGGACCCACCCCGGCCCGGGGCAGGCTCGGGAACGGGACCCTCCTCCACCCCAGCACGCTGTGCCCTGTCAGACAGACACCAGCTCCCACTCCAGCGGGCACCCCATGCTCTTCACAGCCGGGAACGGCACCGGCTCCTCTCTCTGCAGCATCGGGGCTTCCTGGGGGCTCCACTCATTCCGTAAAAACAGGGGGGTCCCCGCCAGGACACGGCCGTGATCTGACAGACAGGGGACGAGCCGAGGCAATGCCCACCCCCAGCCCCGGCTCTGGGCGCAAGGACCTGGGCTGAAGAGGCGTAAACTTTTCCCGTTCCGGAGGAGGAAGCAGGGCGGGCTACCCCTCACCCCCGGCAGGGACGAACAGCCCATGCCCGCAGCGCCCGCCGCCTTCCCGGCCCGACCCTGGGTGCCAGAGGAGCCTCTCCCGGGGCTGCCGGCCCCCAGACCTCCCCTCCCCTCCCCGACCCTCCCGGCTTACCGGCCCTCCAGCGCCGCTCCCCGCAGCGCCGGGGTCCCGCCTCACTCGGCGGCACGGCCGGCCCGCTCGGGCGGCCCCGGCTGCCGGCGCATCCCCCCCGCCCGGCTGCGGGCGGCGGCGGCGGCGCCTCCCCGGGCCCGCTCAGCCCCTGCTGCCGCCGCCCGGCCCTGCCACCGCCGCCTCCATCTCCTCCCGAGGCCGCGGGCAGGCCCCAGCCCCGCCGCCGGGAAGGGGAGGAAGGTGAAGGCCGCCGCAGGAACGGCTCCGCTCGGCTGCGAGGAGACGCAGCGCCGCACCCGGCCGCCCAAAGGCGGGAGGGGGAGGGATGGAGGGCGGGCCGGGCGGCTCTGCCCTTCCCTCCCTCGGCCTCCCGTCCCCGCCTCGCCTCGGCCTGGCGGGAGCAGGGCGTGCTAGAGGGACGCTCGTAAATACACGTGTATACGTGTGTTTGCTTTGGTTTGGCTTGTTGTTGGCTTTTGTTTTGGTTTTTGTTTGTTTTTCTTTTTTGGTTTTTTTTTTGTTTTGTTTTTGCTTTTGTTTGTTTGTTTGGGTTTTTACTGTTCAAAATACCTTTAATAGGTCCCTAACGCTCGTGTTAAAAAAAAAAACAAACAAACTCAAAACACCAAACAAACAAAAACCTGAAAATGGCAGAATCTCAGAATCATTTTTGTTGGAAAAGATCTTTAAGACTCCTCATCCCGGCATGGCAGACACAGGGCAGGTGCAGGCTCTAGGAGGAGAGGAAAGGTGCTGTAAAACATTTGAAGAACAGCAGTAGTGTGAAGGCAGGTATCTGAGCTCTGCTGTACATTCTGTAGCCCTGCCTGGGCTCCTTTCCCTGCAAAGACATGATACAGTAGCGCACACACAGTCGCTGCACACAGCACTGTGCTCACTGGACCAGAGAGATGCTCAACTGCAGGATTCTGATACTCACAAATCCCATCAAAACCAAGTGCTGGTGATGGGTCTCTTTTCAACACCTATTTAAACAAGTCCTCTTGGGTACGTTTTGCAGTATTACGGTGCACTCCTCCTTGTTAGAGGAGGATTTAGAACCTCTGATCCATGTGTTTTCAGACTTGACTACCATGCTGCGCTATGCTAAAGCCCAACCAAGCAAGTCCAAGACGTTGTTGGTATGGATGCCACGGCCAACCTATGGAGCAGAACAGGCTGATGGAAATGTCTTAGCAAACGTGTTCAGTGCTATGCTTATGTCTGCTAGCCCTCAGTGAGGCAGAAAAAACATAAATCTCATTGGAAAGCAGTAGCCAAAAGTCAGTAATCAGAAAACCAATTCTCTGCCTGATTCTGTTTGTACCAGCACCTTGGGACACCATATTCTTGTGCCTCTCTTCTTCTACCTGTGAAGTAGAACCAGTGATAAGTGACAGTTTCTTTGTTGGAAATCTGTGGCTGTCACCAGTTTGAGTCTTGAATAGGCTAGATAGTTGCTCCTTTCTTCAGGCTTCAGAGTGATAACTACAACTGCAGCTACGCACAGATTTATTAATAAGCTGTCTCCAGCTGTGGAACTAATTCCTGCCACATTATCAGGCTCAGCTCAAGAATTTTAACCTTTCAAGTATGTTGTTACTGACATGTGTAATAATTAATCCAGCACAAAAGAAAACAATTTTCCAAACTAAGCACAGTTAATAAGCTTTGTTTTCAGTAATTGGGCCTGAAAGTGTCTGATGAAGTTGAAGAATGTGTTGCATAGGCAACTATACTGTTGGATTATGCAGTTGCTAGTTCAGGCCAACAGAATTCTTGCTACTAATAATGTTAAAGTGTAGTTCGGTTTAGTGCTTTAAATAAGCAGCAAAATCAACATTTGAGTGTGAGTTCTTTTTAACACTAGAGAACTTTTACATCATCAGAGCAATGCAGAGGATAATTGAGTTGCTGAAAAGTCACCCTTCCCTCTCTGGGCCATTCTAGAGTGACTTCTTGAGAGATATGCCTCTGTAGCCAATGGAAGTGATACATCCATTTTTTCTTTAAGGACACAGGCCTAACCCTAAAAAATTCATCTTAATAACATGTTCAGTATTTATGCCATTAAAAAAGATTTTTATGTACTAATAAAATATGTCTTGTATATCTTTATTCCAGGTTTGACATTTCTCCTGGAAGAGTCTCACTTGCGAGAGATTAACATTTGCAACTTGGCCAGTCAGGGAGGACCAGGTGGTACTGGACATCTGAGCTGCGGAAGCACATTTAAGCATTTTAAGAAGTTGTTATCTGTCAGTGGCAGGCTGTCTTGACTGCCCTTGGTATGAGTTAATTCCAAATAGCATTTAAGCATACCAAAATGTTTAAATGAGCCCCTGTCATGGATAAGATAAGTAATCATACATACTGCAGTTTGCATTTGAACACATCCAGCCCAATCACACTGAAAGAACTCCCATTTTGCTTGACCTTCCAAGCTTATCCTATTCAGCAGAAGCCTAGGCTTGCCCATACTGTTCAACTTATGCTATGTTTATTTTTCACCCTTTGGTGTTATTTCAGGTTTTAATCCCGTGCCAATTACTAGGATTAGTCTTGGTAGCCCTTTTAGTCATGCTTTGTTTCCTTAAGGGCTAACCTTTAGACAAGTCACCTGGTTCAGCATCAGGAAGTGCTCAGGAACAACAAATCTTATTTAAATCAGCAGGAAGACATGCTTCTCCAAGTGCAGTGCCATTATTAATTAATTCACCAATCTGCTTCATGACTGTATTTCTGAGGTGTCACTGATCACTAAAGGACATCTCTTGTGTACAAGTATCTTGCTTTGCAGCTGGTCAGACATGGCACCTTTGGTATGTAATACATTTATTAAGATGTGATAGTCACCACTAGATTCTTCTTCTGGAACATAAGGGAGCTTATTTAAATGTGGTTCTGGTTAATACAAATTAGAACATACAGAATACCTTGTGGCCTCTATAGTCATTGAGATATACATCAGAAATAAATAAAAATAATAAAACAAAGAAAGAAAGAAAGAAAACAAAACAAACAAACAAACATACAAACAAATAAAAAAAAAACAGGCCAAAGGATACAAGGATGTTCAGCCCCATACAGATGAAGGATTTGCTAGTATGGCCTAAATAAAATATATAAAGTAGTATGTATTTCCTGGATTATTTTTTAATATAAAACAATTTCAACAAGGAATGACCTATAAAGTGCACGTCAAACAGAGCTGGTGCATAGAAATTACTGAGGTGTGTGGAGCGAGTGGGGGGCCTTAGGGCTAGTATCTGTAGTAAAGTCATGCTGGCTGCAGTAGGAGCAAGATTAGATATATAAGCAGCAAATTAGATGTGTTCATTTGAAGATTAAGTTCAGTTCTTATTTCAGGGTAGAAACAAATTTTACCCCATGATAAGTAGCTTGAAATTGTTACATCTTTGCATATCATTACACCATTTGTTGCCCTTTGAGAAGGAGACAAAAAGTATATAGACTGTGGTAAGTAGGTCATTAGCTGAACCATCTAGTTTATCTTGCATTCTTCAGACACTAACTCTGAACTGATAGTTTGAAACGCAGAAACAGCTTTGCAGGGTTTATTAATAGCAATGAACCAAACATGCTGCTAGGACTGGGCTACAGCAGCTAAGAACTACATTTAATTATCAAATCAATGTCAATTAAAATTGAACTCAATGATTCAAAAGTAATTATATAGGTCACAAAAGGAGTGCAGCCAAAAAGAAAATTATCATGTCAATGTATCAAGTTAAGTAAATTCTTTAAATAAAAATCAGAAATAACAATAGAGTTTAAGTCCCAGTTATTGTGTTTTCCAAAGTAGAAAAATTAAGACAATTGACTTAATCATTTAGTGTTTAAAACAAGTTACTGTACTTCAAAGTAACCTGCTACCCTCTTTTAACCCTCTCCTTTCCTCATGGCCTGAATCAGACAGCTGGATTTACCAACTTTCATTTCTCTCTATAGCTGGCAGAGTGAAACTAGCAAGCAGCTGAGTCTTAAATTCACCTGCTGCATTCACCAAGGTACAATTTCCAGGTGACAAAGTTGCTGTGATGCTGCAGGTATGGTGCTCGCTGTTGCATCTATGACATAGGCTCCAGTTAGGGCAGGCTGCATGTACTCATGCACTGTGCTGTGCCTCAACAGGAGTTGAAAGGTTGGCATTACACAGACAGAGAGTGCCAGAACTGCTCTGGCCACAGATAAAGAAGCAAACCAGGTTTTTAAGGTGGGGTTTTTTTGTCATTGCTTCTCAAAAGAGTATTGGTGGAGGCAGCTACACTACTATAAGCCAATAATTTTCTTTGGCGCTGTTTGAGATCCCACTCTCAAATGTTGAAAAAACACATGAGAACAACATGGTAAGACACAATTCCTGACTAATCTGATACCAGTGGTGTACATTAGCAAGAGTTGGGGGAGCTGTTTGATTATCACTGCCTTAGAAAACTGACTAGTTTTGGGGTAAACAGAAACACCTGAAGTAAGCTGGGTAAATAGAAAGTTTTATTGAAACAGCTTTCAGCCTTACCAGAAGGAAAAGGCTTGAGAGTGTAAGATTATTTCAACATGCTTTGACATCCCCCAAAGTACAACTGATGGTTATCAACCAGCTTCTCCATTTATTCAGCTCACTAAAAGAGCAGTTAATGTTTTGGAACTGCGTGACCATCAGCCATTCATCAAACCTTATTTCAGCACTGGCCATGATAGCTCAGCCATGAGAAGCATTATGGCTTATCTCCAGGAGCTGCTTCATTTAAGAAGAGGGAGAATGATTTTACATCTTCTTGCTATGTATTCAACTTAAATGAGATTACAAGATCAAATCTGTGTTCGCAGACAATCTATGATGAGTACTAAAATATATTCAGTTACAAAGCACACAGTTAAATGAATAAGTCACTGTTGCTATTGCAATTGGTATTTGATAAATGGCAATACTGAAGGTATACTTCAAACAAAGTCATTGTTTAATGTTTAATGCTCTATATCCATCACTGTAGCATTCAATAAAGTATCATGATGTGTTTTTTCAGGTGATGTTGCTCTAAACTGCAAAATCTACAATTGAGCTCAAAATGATGAAATGAAATAAAAAAATGAGCAAGCCAAGCCGTGTTTTTCAAATGTGAACTAAATATTACCACAAAAAGCAGATGTTTTTGGCAGTTCAGGATACCATCTTGTAGCAGAGATCCTACTGACAGGACTCCTTTCTCACTTTCTTTATAAATATTGTGGGTATTCCAGATCAACTGTATTAAGCATTTCTCCCCTTGCCATCTAACATCATAAATTCTTATTACATACAATCTTTTCTGACCATTCAGAGCCAACCCTTTCCTTTTCTTAAGCCATCAGCTCTTGTTACAGGGCACTAGGTCTTCTGTTCATCTTCAGACTCTGCTTACAAGAGTCTCAGAATCACGACTATTTCTTTTTTTAGCAAAAGGGACCCCCCAACCCTGCATTTGGAAGCATTGCACCATTTAGGCATGTTTCCACAGCAACACTGTGTTTATTTTAAGTTGTATCACCAGAAAAGAAGGAAGCTGCCATCCATCCACCCACTTACCATCTCCCTCTAGACATTCTGTCCTTTTGTATTTTACATCATTTAACTAGTGGGCTTTCCCCTGCTTGGAAAAAGAAAAACAAACCCAACAGCAGAACAGTTAGTATATACTTTGTTGTGACATCATTCTGTACAAATCCTTGATGAAAGCTCAACCGCAGTTATTGATTGAGTTATCCCATGGGTTGCATAAGCAGAAGAGCATACTGCTTTCTTGTCCAGCTGGGGCAACACTGAATAAAATTAAGCCAAGTCAGAGTTCCAGGTTGAAGATCTTTTCAAATGTCTAGACATGTACTGATTATACTGAACTTTCAGCTCAGTGTAGCCCAATACAGCCCATTGCCACAGTACTATTTCCACACAGTACAACTTGGTAGGTGCAAATTGCTTCATTTCAGAGGATTTTACACTGCTCTGTCTCAATGTAGCAGACATAAAATCACACTTCTCCAAGAAATTAGCCAAGAAACTATCCAAAAAATACAAATATTGAGATTCCTGGTCAAATTTCCTAACTTCCCCACTTAGCATTCATCCTCTATTTCAATGCTCTTGGTTAACTTCTTGTCTTTGAACTCCTACCCTATGAGGCATACTTTTACTGATCCCCTCCAAATACCTACTTGTTGGCCTACTCAACTTTAAGACTGTGGCTTTATATTTGTAAAGTTCAACAACAGACTAAACACAGCCTTGTATTCAGCATAAGCAGGCACTGTCATATTTAATAGAAGATGAGTAGTGGCAGCTGTGGCAGGTTTGCCTAATAAACACCCTCTGGTTTCTTCAGCTTTCCTCATCTTTCCAAACAGAAAGCCCTAGAGCAGGAGAAGGCTTTGTACCAAGCACTGCTGAGCTGCAGAGGGGGAGAGGCATGAGCAAGCAGAAGGAGCTAGTTGGGATGCCATTTTGCAGGCTCTGTTCTTGCTATCTGTGATAACTGCTGATTTCATTGCAGAGATCATTTACAAAAAGGAAGCGAGCCCTTCACCCTTTTTGCCCGTTGATGCCAAATTTTCTTCTTATTAATTTATTAATCACAGCATCTTTTATACTAAAATTATGGGTGTCATAATATTGCTGTTGCTAAAACATATGCTAAGCCTCCTTACCATAAAAAACCCTCATTGACCCCCCCACTAAAGCTTAATTTTTAATTTATTTCTGAATGATTGTGGGCACTGAAACTCACCCTATTTCTCTCTCCTTATGTGAGGAGCCCAGGACCTTAAAGCAGAAATTTTATTTGTGTAGTAAAAGTGCGTCTCATTAATGTGGCTTGGTGTTGATATATCCATTGGCAGAGCTGCACCTTAGCTAAAACCTTTGAAATGAAATGTACAGCAGCAGAGAAAATTCTGATTTAAGGAAGCTGAATGTATTCATAATATGATATCCTCACCTATTTGAAATTTTATTTTTAAGCACTTTTCCCATTCTTCTCTCATTCTGCACAAACTGTGATAAAATACTTTGGTGATAAGTTGTACTGATTTTTTTTTAATGGAACTTGACTGAGTTAATTTTTGTCTCAAGTATAAGCCTAATATGATGCAAATAGATACCTTCATAGGCTTCACTGGACCAATATATAGGCAAAATTTGCTGAAGGAAGACACAGAATACACATAGAGTACTCCCTGGGAAAGGGTTAAATTAAAGCAGCAGATTTTTTATTGTGCATGAGAAGGAAGAAGGAAAGGTTCAGGTAGCATCCAGTATTTTATGTTAGGGAGAGGTAGATTTTACCCACCTAACATGATCACACGCCTCTTTCCCTATGCTATTACAAAAAAAATCCCACTCCTAAACTCAGATATGTTTAAATACTTTGAAAAGGGCTACTGTATAACTGGCCATGTGGGAAAGAAGTGAGAATTTAGGCAGGTAATGAGTTGCCTGAGAAAGAAAGCAAGAGACTGTGCCTTTCTTACCAGACAGGGAAACCAGAGAAACTTGTCCCATTACAGTGAATAATCATTGGCAATCTTAATCTGGTAATAATTTAATAGTATTCTCTTGGAAAAGGTAGGAAATAATTAGAATTTAGAAGTATTAGTATCTCATGTGCTAAAACTAAAAAAATAGTAGCAAATAGTGATTTTATAATGACTCTCTAAGATCCTGCATTTCTGCTGCATAGGAGTGATTTGGATGTAAAATTTGTGATAAGCATGGCAAGAGAAACACTGTTGGTGAACAATAATTTTTAGTTTGGTTAAAGCGTCAAAAGACAGAAATAAGACAGTTAATACGAAAATGTGCAATCCTTCAGAGTATCTTTATCTTCTCTCATTTTACTGTCTACCTCTGAGGGTTCAGCTCACACTCAGCTCTGCTTTCATATTTCTGTGACTACACTGGCTTAAATGAAATTACACCAAACATGAATTTGCTTCTTGCTGCCATCCAAAATAAATTGCCATCCTCCTTTCACTCTAGGATTTCATGGGCTTGGATAGAAAGCAGGGTCATTGCAGAACAGAGGTATGGGCTTCTTGTAACCCTGCATATCCTTGTTACTGAAAGTCTGGGAGGATTTGCTGTGAGAAACCATCATCACAAAACTCACTGCAATCTACTTAGTTCCCACTGAGGATAAAAATTATACAGGCAGAGGGAATAATCTTTTCTAATACTATCCTGTCTTGAAACTCCCATTTCCAGTTAAAACAGTGAAAAGCTGACAGCTGAGTGTCTGCTACAGGACTATCTGATCTCTCCTGACAGCTTCTCACTCAGATTATTGCCCCCAGAGGGCGGTGAGGAGATGAAGACCTCTGTCTCTCCCAGGAGAAGGAACAAAGGGTGAACTAATGATGCTGGGGTCACTCGGCTCCTCCTACCCCTCTTTATGTGCTCAGGACACACAGCTCTGCAGCTGACGAAGTCACATGAAGTCTGGCTCCTCTTTTCTTTGTGAGAAAGCAGGTGCATCTCCTCTCTGACTGCTCTGAAATGTTTCCACTAGGAACAGTCCTGCCGTCATCCTTTTAAGTGTGCAGTACAGCCACTGAGGAACATTATGAGATGAGGTGGGCTGCTATGACAATAATACCTTCTGCAGCTTTTTATGTTTTATATCCCACATTGGAGTCATTGCCTCCCAAGCATTTCTAGCACAGAGAATCATAGAATGGTTAGGGTCTTGAAAGGGACCTTAAAGATCATCAAGTTCCAATCCCCTTATGGTGGAAGCTGGAGAACTGACTATGTATTTGCTTTAGCACACCTGACGTCTATGAAAAAAAGAAGCTGGGAGGACTCCTTTCTGAGACTGTGACCTGTTTAGAAAGCATTACCCTGACAACTCTCACAGAGGAAACCAGGAAATTTTCCATAGTCAAACCCAATGATTATACCAGGAAGAACAGAGAATCACTTTCTGTTGTGAGCAGATCTATGTCATGTCTACAACCATAGCCACTATGAAATGAAATAAGAGGTGGGTGGCCTTCCTTAGTTCACGTGAAGGTAAATATAGTAAGATTGGCCAGGACTTATTCAATATGAAATCTCACACCTCTTCTAATTAAAATGAAAACTTTATTTTCCAAGCTGTCACGAGGAGAAATATTTTTCAAACACTCAGCAAGCCCTACTACAAAACTGAATTTGCTACTTAAAATGAAAATCCCAGCAGCTCCGTCACTTGACCACGCATAGCGTCTTCTTTTCTTCCCTCCCTCCTTCCTCTGTGTCACCTCTTCCAGAAGAGCAGCTCTGACGGAGAGTTCCAGAGGGCGGAGGACGAGATGTCTAATGCTGGACCTTCCGCGGGCGGGCCGGTCCAGGGGGGCGGCAGGGGGTGGCAGCGCCGTGTCCGGCAGCGGGAGCGACAGTGAGAGCGGTGCTTGGGACCGCCCCGGCTCCCATTGGCTCGGGGTTCCCTAAGGGGCTCGGCGCGGCTCCATAAAGGCAGCCCGTCCGCCCATCCGTCCGACTGTCCCCGCCCGGCCATGCCCTCGCCACCGCCCGCCCTCCCCTTGCTCCTGGCCGCCTGCTGCCTCTGCGCCCTCCCGCGGGGCTCAGGTACGTCCCGGCACCGGGAGCGGAGAACACGGCAGAACCCCGAAACACGGAAAGGGTTGTCTCCCCTTGAGGGGCGCCGTCGGGGCTGGGCTCCGCGGCATCCCAACGCTGCCGTGTCCCCGCAGGGTTCCCGCAGCCTTTCTCGCGCTACCGGGACGGTGTGTTGGAGCTGCCCCAAAACCAGGTACGTCTGTCGCTGCCGCCTGACGGCTATGCGCTGTGGACGGGTAGAGAGACGGTGCAACCCGGGATGGGCTGGCCGGGGGAGGTGGGAATCGGGACTCGCCCGTGGCAGGGAAATGAGGAAGGAAATCGGCATCGGACTGGGAATATCTTATGAAATCCCTGGGAGAGGAGGGAGGCTGGCGCCCTTTGCTGCCCGCAGAGGTAGGTGGGACAGGTATGGGCAGGGGTGTGATCTGCAGCATCAGGGTGCAGAATGGGATACCTGGGTAACCAAAAGCCGGGCAGACTAATAACCAGTCAGTCCCGACTCCCCGAGTGAAAACACAGATCCTAAGGCATGATAGACACACTGCTAATGTCTAATCTTTACTTTTTAAAGCAACTGGCATTGTGTTTCAGTCAGTGGATGGAAATGTCCAATGAACCCCAGGTAAATTGACTCTGGTAATGTGTTTGATCTCTCTTCCAGACATAGTAATTGTCCTCTATATCCCAGAGCACCGACGTCTGCCAGAGAGCCAGTGGCTCTGGAGAGCAGGGCGGGTTTGCTAGTGTATGTGCTCTCCTTCCTGCGGAGCTAATGCAGACCTAGAGAAAGAAAAAAAGTGTTTTTCTTGCCATCCCAGTAGTAGCTAACATCGAAACAAGGTGCCAGACAGTGCTGAAGGAGTTATAGGTCCTGCCTGGTCCCCTTGGTGCTTGGTGGGTTGATGGGTTTTCTTTGGGGTGCTCAGAGGAGAAGGGAGCGAGACGAAATTTTCACATCTCGTTTCTGCTCTAGCGTCTCTGGCCCAGAACTTGCAAACTCTTTCGTGAAAAAAACAAAACCGAAACCAAATCAGTATCTGAAAGTTCAGCCCCACTGCATTTGATATCGAGCCCAAGTGTCATTTTCGAAGAGGACCAGGAAGTATCTGGAAATTTTAAACATTTTGTGCTGATTTTTTCTTTCTGAAATCTTTCAGTTTTGTAAACCAAAACTTAAGGAAAACAGTTCCCAGAGTCTATTGTTCAGGTGTCTTACACTTCACTTCCTTTGGAGCTGTAGTTATTTCTCATCTAATGGGATTGCATGCATAAGCAAACCCCTGTCCTGTGGCAATGAGTGTGGGACAGTGTATTTCAGTATTCAGTTAAAGATTATAGAATTGATTGGCTGAAATGCTTGTAGTTGAAAATGAGCATAGATTAAAAATGCTCAAACCCAAAGCTATTCCTAGAACAATTAGCATAGAAAAATGTATTTTAAATATAAGAGTTTGATTTAGATCTCTTTATAGCACAAGACTGTATTGACAACAGTAGTATTGTGTGTATTAATACAAAATACTAGTTTTTCAGCTCATAATAGCATTAGTAGATCTTTCCCTGCTCTGAATGTTTTTAGTGAATCTAAATTGTGCTGGGATCAGAATCAAGCCTGGAGAAGAGGAGACTGAGGGGAGACTTCATTGCAGTCTACAGTTTCCCCATGAGGGAAAGAAGGGGGGTAGACACTGATCTCTGTGGTGACCAGTGACAGGGCCTGGGGGAATGGCCTGAAGTTGTGCCAGGGGAGGTTTAGGTTGGATATTAGAATAAGGTTCTTCACCCAGAGGATGACTGGGCTATGGAACAGGCTCCCCAGGGAAGTGGTCACAGCATCAAGCCTGACAGAGTTCAAGAAGCATTTGGTCAATGCTCTCAGGTACATGATGTGATTCTTGAGGTGTCCTGAGTAGGGCCAGGAGTGGGACTCGATGATCCTTGTGGGTCCCTTCCAACTTGGCATATTCTGTGATTCTGTGAAATCTTGTACACCACATCCTTCCAGTAAATGTATTAAAGCACTGTTTGGTTTTTTTTTCAGATTTCCAGCAGTGTTTTGGATCTCTGTTATTCCATATTCAACAGCATGCATAAAAATGAGGTAGGCTGTAATTGCTTTTGTTTCAAAGCACCCCCTCCTTAAATTTAAAAAGCAACCTCTCCAAAACCAACCTTTTGGCATTTCTCTCCAGACAAATGTATGATCTAATATTGTCATGGTTTAAGAGATGTAGGAGAGTATATAAAAGATTATTTCTTGTTAGTAGTTTGTATGTAATTCTGAACTACATTAAACTATATATGAAATTGTTGTTTTTCACCAGTTCAGCGCTCAACAACCAAAACATTTTCTTATAGCCAGTCAGTATTTAAACCTGACTGTCACTTTTTAATAGAGTTAAATATGCTAAACATATGCATAACATTGGATCAATAGCATAATTTAGATCATGCTGAACATGGAGGTGTATGATTTGCTTTACCAATTTTAATAGTCTATTTGAGCTTCAGGGTTTTTTTGTGTTTCTGACTCAGATTGAAAAGATTAAATTGAGGAGTTATTGAGTATAGCTCTTTCACTGGTACAGCTCAGTGTCAACTCTGCTTTATATCACTTTTTTATTGTCATCACTCTATTAAGAACCTTTCCCATAAAATTCACTCAGCCCCTGGGTATGTTAAAAAGGCCAATTTACTTGTGGAGTTTGAGTTCTCTGTTGTCTTCAAACAGGAGTAGATTGTTCAAGACAGAAATAGAAAGTATTTTGACATGCGTTTCAATATCTCTTCTTGCCAGTGTCTTTAGCTTATTATAATTCCAAGCATACTTTCCTAAAGTAACCATAAAACTCTATCATATTGAACTTGATTGTATAAAAAATTCTAATATTTCAGTCTAATAAATGTTTTTGAGTTTGGTATTGACTCCTATGCTTCCACAGCTTAGCTAATGAGGGAACATCCAGAATCATCTGGTAACTTTGAACAGTCCTATTCCTGGTTACTATTTTAGTTATTACCTTTCAAAAAATTCACCCTCTGTTATGTGCTCTCAAAATTGGGAGCTGAATCTCGTACAACATCCTTTCAAAAAAATATGACTAATATCAGCTATATATCTGCAGTATTGTTTCTAGGTGTGGTCTAAGTAAAATGGAAGATTGAATATAAATATGAAATATGGAAAAAGAACTATGTAAAGTTTTACTCAGCTGATCAAATCTATTACATGAAGTTGTACTTTCTTAGCCCACAAGGAATCTTGAGAAGATACTACAAACATGAATCTATATGTAGTGCACCCAATGAAACAGCTATGAAATCCTACTGATTTCAGCTGAACTTCAGCTTTCAACATTATACCAAATTTCTGTGGATTAAAAAAATTACTCAGAGTTATAGATCGTGTAGAAAACGTAGATGGTGTTTCAAGAGAAGGAATGAGGCCTAAGCATTATAAAAGGCAAAGTCAGTGGCAATTTGGGCATTAATGGGACTTGAACTCCACCTGGGGAACTTAAAATATTTTGTGAGACCTAAGACTATTTAACATCAATGTCTAATGACACTTACAAAGAAAGCAAAAAGAGCTATCTAAACCTGGCCACATCACAATCACCTCACTGAGCATTTGCCTAAAGTCAAGCCAACACACTGTTTAGAAACTCAGTTTTTACCATGTTTCTTCCACATAGTAATCTCTCACTATTATCAATTAGCTAGGATAGTTGACACTGCAGGCGTCAGTCAGACTTGATTCAGTCTCTATCTTTGCTTGGTATGTAATAATCATATTATAACAAAGGTAGCATTCACACTGTTTTTCTGATGTGGTCTCCTCCTTTGGTTCCTTAAAGCACCTTGATTGAGCAGGCACTTTTTTCTTCCATCACATTTTATAGCCCTGTAAGTTGATGTCAGTTGCTCTATAAATTGTCTTGAGGTTTGAACCAAAGGAATCCTCTTCTCATACCCCAACTGAGTGATCCTTGTGGGTCCCTTCCAACTCAGCATATTCTGTGATTCTTTGGATAGTGATTCCCTCATTTTTGCTTCTATATTTCGTCTTTTAAAATTCCTCTCTTCAGTTTCCCATCTGCATGTTTTAGTGTTTTCACCCCCATCTTCATGTCCTTGCTCATTATATGTGCTTGTTTTTCAACTCCAGCTTGTTTTACTCCAAGTAACTAAACCCATTCACTGATACAACTGTGCCTATGGAACACAAAGCCATCCCATTCCTGGCTAGCTATGAGCATGCAGCCTGGCAGCCCTGTCATGGGCAGGATGGCTCCCAAACCAGGCTGCAAGTTCAGGGCTGTGTTACATGAGGAGCTTAGTCTGCTCACATGAAGTCATGGGGAAAGTTTCTATTCCTTGATGTAAGGCTGAGTAGAAAAATGAGCAATTTTCTGAAGAATAAAGGTTTTAGAGGAAGACTTAAAACCAGCAATCATTCTTGGGTTAAAACCAAGGGCAGTCTGAAAGGTGAAGAGCAGCCACATTTTAACAAGGTAAGAGCTACCAGTACAATTCAAGCCTGAGGAGTACAGCTGCTGCATTTGCTCCAGGGTGAGCTCTGCTTCCCCTATCAGAGCTGTACAGCGAGGGAAGCACATTGAATGATGGTAATGAATGAGGCAAGGCTTCAAATCAATCTTTAAAAAGATCCATTTGCTGCTGTTCCAATATCTGTGATAAGCGTAAGGTTATCTCTCTTCTCACGTGGAGTGCACCAGCCTCATCAGTAACAAGGGGTCTGTACCAAACCAAACAAATGCTGGCATGTTGATTAACTTACCCTGTCTGCTTGCAGGAATCACAGATTGCTTCTGCAAAGTTTACGAAGAAGGTATGTAAATGTGAAGACAAGCAAGTAGCAGTGGGCAGGGACGTATGTCCCTTTCCTTTTTTTTCTTTTGCTGCTTTTTTCAAGTCAGCTTGGGGTTTTCTTCAGTGGTTGGGAAGTGATCTGTGCTGACTCTGCGTATACCTATCCTGTGAGCAAAGATTTCTTTTATACCTTTTCTAAACCCTGTGAATCTTTAATTTTGGTAATTTAGTATATTTACACTAAACGGAATGGATAGTTCTTGACAATGCCCTTTGGGCATTAATTTTTAATCAGCATTCCAGATGAATGGGCATTGGGGACTATCAACATCTTGTTTGCATGCTGCTGAAAAAGGCCTGAATTATCAATATTCTGATAGAATGATACCAACATTTGTCAACAGATCTATTGAACTGAGTTTAAAGTACTTTGCTGTTGTTTATGTTTTATTTTACAGGACAGTCATGGGACTCTGGGACGGCCTTTTTTCCTTTTCAGGGTATCTGAATCTCTTATCTTTTAAAGATTCTGAATCACAGAAAATGTTATATGTCCATATAATAGGAAAGCTGTTTCCCTTCACAAATTCTTGCTGCAGTTGCTTTGAGTAGAGGTCAAATATCCCTTGCCTGAATGCTTAGGGAGTATTAGCTTAAAAAGCTCTGATTTGACTAAAAGACAACAAGATAATGAGATCTTGGGTAGTAATGGATAACACACACTTTTTTGTTTGAAGATATGCTGCTGCAAATGTTTTATCTTGAGCCAAATCATCCATGTGGCTTGTATCTCCAAGACCGTCAAGGTGCACTGATGCTAAACACTTTAGATAAAATGTGCCTGAGCTGACTGTCTGAAAGGTCTGGCCAGTAAGCGATGTCCCACTGCATAACAGGGTGAAAAGCCAAAGCAAAATTATCATAATTTCTCTCATGTTCTTCACCCAGTGGCTTGCTGAGCTATGGCACACTGATGCCAACTGAGCTGGTTTAGACATACTCTGATTAACACAAAACTAACTTCTAGGAATGTCTTCAACATATTTAAAAAAATTAAAAATATTATCAAGTAGGTCATATCAGGTAAGCAGAATCTCAATTAACTGTCATTTGCATTTTAGCTTACTTCAAGTGTGTCCAGCTAGGTTCTCTCAGTGCTGGTATTTGTATATGCTTTCTTAGGCATGTGCAATTCCCCAAGGAATTGGGACTAAAACCCTGAATGAGAATTATTAAAGCCAGACTTTTTAGCTGTTTGGACAGAGGCTGAATGAATATTTCTCAAATTCAAAGGCACAACTCACCCTGCATGGATCCCCTGATATTTGATAAAGGAAATCTTACTGCAGTCTTCTTATACAGTAATCTGTCTGCATGATGGTGATGTATTTTGGTGTGCTTATAAATCTGGTACCTAATACTTCTGCACAATCATCTATGTATTTTTCAGCCTCGAAATGGAAGAACTATCAAAGGCAGTGGTAAGTGGACATCCAAAAGTGACAAGAATTTGTTCTGATTTTTTCAATAATGATGATCCTCATGACAGAAGGAGTTACTGAGAAGCATTACAAACCTTGTACAAACCTAGATACACACGTGGATGTTTCATATGGTCACTAGGAGATGTCTTGCAAGAATTGTGATTTTTGAGGCTCAGGGCCTTAGAGTGTACACTCTTGACAAAGGGATTGTTTTCTTGTCTCTTTAAGGTTCAGTAAGGAGGAACTTTCATCCTCTGCAAAATGATAGATATGGTACAGAAGCTGTAAAGTTTAAAGACAGAGGGTGTAAGTGATGCTTGAAACACAGAAGCTAGACTTTTTTTGTTCAAAGCTACCTTCAGTCACCTAATCCTACAGGAGATACCCTAACACTGAATCTGTACATGCAGGTGGGAGTCCTCACATCATAATTAGGAACTTTTTGAGGGTAAACATTCTCTATAAAGAGCAGGGCTGGGGATGTAAGGGAGGAAGAAAATGAGATCTAATAATATCACCTAACACTTACATATCCATCTTTGAAAGTATCTACTAAAGGTCTAAGTGAGCTTTACTGGGAAATGGACAATATAGTATACATGTATAGTATGGGGTACATTTGTACCCTCCTTCAGTCTCTTTTCTTCCAATCTTTTATCCCACAAGGAAAGATCACCATTTTTGTTTGCAACCTAAGAATTATTTCCAGCTGTTGACTGAAAGGAGCTTTGGTTGGTTTTTATTTTGTTTTGGTTTGGGGTTTTTGTTGTTATTGTTGTTGTTTTGGGGGTTTGTTTGTCTGTCTGTTTGGGTTTTTTATGATAAAACCTGCAAAAAGTCCAGTAGTAAAGAATACCCTTGGTATATACTCAGGATTAAACTATTTTGGAAAGAAAGGAACCAAAGATTTGAGGGAGTATTATAGAGCAACATTGTTACTTGCTTGCTCTAGTCTTAGGCACTGTCCTGGGCAATCTGTTGTTTCTCATAGATGAAAGGACCATGAGGAACTAGACAGATCTCTAGTTTGAGCTGGTGCAGCTATTCTTGTTGTTAAGTCCACATGCGTATGGGAAATGTTTCATAGCTCAGAAACATGTTGGTGTAGAAGCCACTACTCTATAGTCATGCCCTAGCCTAACATACAGCAGTAAATTTTATCCACAGCTCAGCCCCCTGAGCCACCCTGGCTGCAAGATGCACTCCATGCTTCCATACTCTAAAAGAAGGTCAGCAGAGTTAGGACATGGAGAAGAGAAGAACTGTGTGAGGAGGGAGGATTCATGTTCGAGTACAAATAACAGATTTGGGCACTTGACTGAACTTTCAGACATCTGAATCTTCTGGTATCAGAATCTGAAGCTATTTATTTTCTAACTTTGAGGAGTACTAGATGTACGGAAATGAAACTAAAAGTCATATTCATCTCAACATAAAATATGACACTGTTTTAATTTGTTTCAGAATACCATGGAATATGAAGTTCATGGGTTAATTTACCAGCTTGATGACTTGATTTACATAAAGAAAGGAGACTTCCCATTGCACTGGTTGTCTGTTATGTGACTCAGCTGAATTTGCTGTTCCATGTAATAAATTTGCAATCATTAATTCTTCTTGTTGTCCCTTATTTACTGAAGCCTGTCCTAGACTTCCTTGGGCTATAGTGTAGCACTGTCTGGTGCCAGCTGTAATCAAAGGAAAGGAGTCATCTCAATATCAACAATTTTCAAAACCAACAGTGCATTTTATAACATCTTCTTTAATAGCATCATAAACTGCAAGCTTGTCCTTTTGATTAGATAATGTATTTCCCCAGAATTTCAGAGTATGCTTCCTGAGCAACACGGTATTAAAATCATCGTTTAATGATTTATTTCTTATTTTGAATAACTAAGGGTTTGAGTGTGATGACTGATGAATCCAAAGCACTTTGAAAGAAAGGGGAATAAGTACTGCTGCTACACATAGACATTATTTGATCAGATGATGTATTTTTTTTCAGCCTTGCCTTATTGGCTGTCGTAAAGCACAAATGAGGCACTTTTGAGAAATATTCTGAACATCTGCCCTTTTTCTCTGAAATCATGCATTTAAACCTGTGGTGCAGCCAGTTGCTTGCACTGCATGGAGTGTTTTGGTAGGTGGAGACATTTACGGGCACAAAACTTCAAGTACTAAGCAGTTACTTCTTTAGGAAGAAAAGAGCATAGTAAAAGCCAGAATCTGGGGATACAAACAAGGCTGTAACTCCTGAACACAGTATTGGTTTCCTCAAGCCCTTTGTTATCCTTCCTTTTTCTATTTGGCTACTCAGTCATAGTACCATGGCATAATACCCCTCTCAATTAAACTGGCGCGTCCACACGTGAACTGGATTGTCTTTAAAAACAAACCCTGAGAAACCTGTATTTTGTTGTTTAGTGGGGTGTTTTTTAGGGGTTTTTAACTGGACAAGTTTCCAATTTCGGGCTGTATTAACACCTGTTTGGCTGGTAGGTGGAGGGAGGTGATGAGTTATTTGGCAATTGCTTGGCCACATCTAGGTGGATTGTTCAGTTTTGGGCCCCACAGTACAGGAACGGCATGGACAAACTGGAGGGAGCTCATGGAGGGCCTCCAAGGTGATGAGGACTGTATCACCCCTGAGGAGGGGTACGGTTCAGCCTACAGGAGGGATGCCTTCAGGGCACCTAATAGACTTTTCAATGCCTACGAGGGTCATCAAGGAGACAGCTGGACTGCTCACAGAGTGGGGTGGGAGAACAAGCAGCAACGGGCGTAAGTAGAAGCAAGAGAGGTCGAAGTGTCCAAGCAGCTGTCCAGAGAGGTTGTGCAGTCTTCAGTCCTTGGAGATTTTCAAGATCAGAGTAGACAAAACCTGGTCTGAATTCCTGCTTGGGACCAGACTAGAGACCTCCTGAGGTCCCTGCCAGCCTCAGTTATTCTGTGACAGGAGTACAATTTTATGCTGTGTATTTCAGCCTCTAACAGGGTCAAGACCTGGCTGTATTATAGCTCCTGTATCTCCATCTGGGCAGAGGGTGGGGTGGGGTTCCCAGAGAGGCTGGTCAGTTAAGGCCTATTTGTGCTCTCACAGCACCCTATTGCTGTTCAGTGTGTTGTAAATTCCTGCTGGAAATTATTAGCCCTTGGAAAGATTTCCGAAGAGATGCTGACTCCTCTGGCTTCTCATGTATTTGGAGCCAGCCAGGGTATCCCTCTGGAAGAAACAACTAAGCTAAATACAAGTGGTGGAGATGCACTGTGGTAATACAAATAAATATGAGATAATGATACAAAAGCACAGCAATGGCATTCCTGGCTTGTTTCATCTCAGAGGCCAAAGCTGAAAAGTATAACCTTTTTGGATAGTTCTGTATAAATATTTGTACTGGTTTTGGCTGGGATAGCATTTTCTTCATAGCAGTTTTTATGGTGGCCAAAGCAGTGTTGATAACACAGGGATGTCTCAGCTATTGCTTAGCAGTGCTTGCACAACCTCAAGACTTGTTTCCCACACTGCCAGCCATGAGGCTGGGAATGCACAAGGAGTTGGGAGGCGACACAGCAGGGACAGCTGACCCCAACTGCCAAAGAGATATCCCGGACCATATGGAGTTGTGCTCTGGGACAGAGGCTGGGGGAAGAAGAAAGGGACACACGCACGCACACACACGCACACACACACACAATATATGTTCGGATGGTGTTTGTCTTCCCAAGTCACAGTTAGGTGTGATGGAGCCCAGTTTTCCTGGAGATGGCCATCACTGCTGATGTGAAGCAGTGAATAAACTCCATGTTCTGCTTTGCTTTACCTCTTGAATCATCTTTATCCCAGCCCATGACTTTTCTCACTTTTACACTTTGAATTCTCTCCCCTATCCTGCTGGGGGAAGCGATCAAGACAACTGAAGTTAAACATCAGTACTGTACCATGGGCAATTCATGCTGTGCTCTTACAATCAGCAGTGGCTTTCTCCACCCACAAGAGATTTCAGAAATAACATCTATTGGGGCATAATAAGACTGATAAATGGGTGGTAATTTGCAAGTGAGAATCTAGCTTGTGTTCCTCAGTCATTCCTGTAGCAACTGTGACTCCTCTGTAAAAAGCAGAGAAGAGCACTTGTTCGCTGCTCAGTGCAAATCTTTGCTCACTGGAGCAATGCAAATGTTACGTGTGAAACAGGAGAGATTAAAAATATTGAAAGGTAAAGGTCATCCCTGGCCTGGAACTCTGTGGACATCCCACCGCAAAACCCACAGCAGAAACTGAGGAGTGCAGACACAGGTGACAACAACAATTAGAAGCACAGAAATATTTCTGGAAAAAAAAAAAAAAAAAGAGGTGAAAGCTCAGTTCCCATTGTCAGCCAGAGAAGAGGCAAATCAAGAGTGACATGACAAGGTATACAAAATAATGAGTGTGTTTAGAAGAGTAAATTGGGTGCTTATCCATTCTCTGGTAATAAAAAACAGCAAGGAGAGACACTCAATTACACTGAGAGGCAACACATTCCAGCTGCACAGGGGAATTTTTTTTCTCTCAATCAACTCTTGAAACCAGTTGCCGCAGCTTAGAGCATGTGGTTAGAGACAACTCTGTCGGCTCCCAGGAAGGCAGGCATGTTCAGGAGTGCACACTTTCATGCTGCCTTACTTGACTTGAAAATCACTTCATGCTGGCCCAGGACCTTAAAAGCCTGTCCTGGTGGAGCTGGGCTCAGCAAGGCATTGCTCAGCAGAGCACACAGCAAGGGACCTGGAAATGCAGTCACCTGTGGGGGAGCGAGTGCTGCCCGGCCTCACGACATGCCACTCACCACAGAGCCAGAGCACGAAGCACAAGAGCAAAGCCTTCTTGGTGTTTATGTCACTCTGTCTGGTCCCTTCATGATCTTGTGCCTTGGACAGACTCAATCCCTTCTCAGCTCCCACAGGGAAGAGCTCACTAAATCTTCAGGTGATGGCAAGCTGGGGGGGATGGCAAGTACTGGAGGACAGAGTCAGCATTCAGAACGGTCTTGGCAAAGACTCATATGGAAAAAAATACATACAGCTTACTAAGGATGAAAAGGAAGCTATTACACATATTGAAGAAAAACCAATTGCAGCTTTGCAGCAAAGGGAATGGGTAACTGTAGAGAGTCAAATATCATAGTGTTGAGGGGAACACAAAAATAAAATGTGGAATGAATAAGAAGCTGTAGGAACTATCACACGGGAGGTGCTGCACTGCTGACTATAGGTAAGGCTTCGTGCACAGAGCAACATAGGAGAAGAAAGGGGGTAACCAACAGCAGAGGGGAAAGACAGAGGTCAAGGAAAGCTGGCACCCTGAATGAAGGAAGGTTGCTTTGCAAGAAGGAAAGTGTGAGGAGGGGAATGATAAAATGCTTCATTTTAAGCTCACCACTCCCAGCAGCATCCATCCACACCCATGACATCAGGGAATGAAGTGCTGACTGATAGGCAGAGTTACCTTTTCTTGGTCATAAAAATTTTCCAGGGGAACTGACACCTCACTTGGACTCTAAGTTACAAAAGTCCCAGCTCTGAAAGAGCTGCAAACAGCCTCTCCTCTCTTCTGTGTTATGTCATGGTGCAATGTTTATTCCTATGTTTCATTTGATGAAAGATTAATGCCATTGTGTTGTTGAACATAGAATAATTGAATCATTTGTGTTGGAAAAGATCTTTAAGATCATCGAGTCCAACTGTTAACCTAGCACCACCATGTTCACCACTAAATGATGTCCCAAAATGCCACATCTACATGTCTTATAAATACCTCCAGGGATGGTAACTCAACCACTCATTTGGGCAGCCTGTTCCCATACATGACAACCCTTTCAATGAAGAAATTTTTTCCTAATGTCTAGCATACTTCAGATAGAAATTGCTCTGGCTGCTTCTGGAGAAATGGAAGTTTCAATATTGAAGAGCCCAGCCCTTATACTTTACATACTTTTAATTCGTGATAACACCTGTCATACTAACAGCTGTGAGAAGTGACCCTTGACTCCCAGAGCTGCAGGGCAGTCCTGGGAAGGTTAGTGTCTTTGCTTCTGAAATGCTTGTGTAAAACAAGAGAAAAAATCCCAGCATGGAAAAGGAAGCATATGGATTACAGGATCAATGGAAAAGCCCATTTGTGACCTGTGAACTGCACTCAAACTGGAGTCCTTTAAAAACACATTGAGAGGATTTAAATAATTGGCAATGAGGGCGGACCAACGCCCAGTGAGGTAACTGCCAGGTATGCATGACAGGCAACTCTGTCTAGGAACGAAAACCACATCAGCTGACTGCTTGTCTCATCTTCACAACTGTCAGCAGGTAATGTGACAGAAGTAGCTGCAGAAATTGAAACTTTCACTGGAGATTAAAAACCATAGCCAGTTGGACAGAAGATATGTAACTGCCTGATAGGTTGGCCAAAAGCTGCCAGCATCCCATTCGAGTTTCTCTAATGCATGTTAGGCTGTCGAATGAAGTCCAGATACAAGATGGATATGCTAATTATTCTAAACACAGCAATGAAATGTTTGTTTATTTGCT